AACAAAAAATATATTTAATTATTCAATTAGTATGCTTTTTAATAAAAATATATTATTTTTATTTCATAATATATTACATCACTATACTATTTAACTCAAATGTTGAATAAAAAAATTCAAATAAAAACTTATTTAGCTATGTTTTTTTGAGTTTCTTATGAAAATATATTGTTTTTATTATGAAATATTAAATCCAAATTATTTAATTTAATTTAATTTTTTAAAGAAAACACATTTATAAACTAGAGGGTATCATTGGTTGCATATTCAAATTTATCTAAGTATTCTTAATTTACCAAAATATAATATGCACTGGCTTTTTATCTAATCTAACGTTTTTTTGACTTAAAAAAATATTATATTTAAACTATATATATATTTTTTCATTTAAAAGTTTCAATAAAAATGGTGTTTAATTTAGCACAACTTATTATTATTGTTATCTTAAAACTATTACACAATTTATTTTACATATTATATCAAAAAAGTATTTTAACATTCAAATACCATATACAATTAAAATAAAAATATTCTTACATCAGAAAAAATATCTAGTAGTATACTTTTATTTTCAAATTATCGAAATATTCCAAAACTGTCCACAAAAGTCTCGAAATTACTCCAAACTACAAACAACCACACCCGACTCTTTATTGTAACCCGAAAACACTATACTGTACGAACCACCCGCACCCGACTCTTTATTGCAACGGAATAATAAAATTGTTTAAAAAAAATAAATAAGGGAAATAAAATAAAATAAAAGAGGCACTTTAAATGTTTCATTTATTAATTTAGGGAAGTTATATACATTGAATATTGTCTTCAACATTTACAAACCATCTTAAAAAATATGGGTTGATACCGGTAGTGAACTATACACTTTAATACTAATGAATAAACATAATTAAATACCATATTCAATATATACCTATAAATATATACTTTATACTATTATTTAATAAATAAATATTAGTATACATTAATAAGTTTGTTTACTTTAGGTGTATTTTTATTTTTATTTAATTTTGTATATTATAATTTTATTTTGAGGTAGAACATTGGGTATACATAGGTTGTGCTCTTTTGAATTTTAGATTTGAGTTTAAAATATATATAATATTTAATAAATATAAATAAATATTTAATACTTCCTCCGTCTCCGGTGAAAGAGTGATGTTTGTTTTTTGCATGTAGATTTTTGAATATTAATATTATATTGGATTGTAGTAAAAAAGACAAAAATATCCATATTATTATAGTGTAATATAAAAGTAATAAAAGTAATGACATTTGTGTAATATATTGTAAATTGGAAAGATATTTATTATGTTAGGTAAGTAGTACAATTACTAAATTAGGAAATGGTAATCTTGTTTTGGGACGGACGAAAATGAAAAATGACAACCTTTCAATGGGACGGAGAGAGTATAATATTTTAAATCTAAAATTAATTTTTTAGTAATACGTTTACATGTAAATGATATGATTGATTTAAGAGCTTTGAAGAGGAAGATTTTGTTGAATAATGTATAGGCCTTATAGAAATTAAACAATTCTATAATATTTTATATGGTAAATTAGTACTAAATTTATTATTTTTTATTTTAATATTTCAAATTAGAATAGTCATTATTTATTCAAAATAATTTTTAATAAAAATATATTATTTATTTTTCATAAAATATCAAATTAAAATATTATTTAAACAAAAATTTATATCAATATTTTTATTTTAAATCAATTTCAAAACTACAACCAAACAAATTCTTATTATTTGGTTTGTATTTTAAATCATTTTATTTACTATTTCCATATAAAGCATTTTAATGTAATACTCCACACCAATAACTATTTTATGGAAATACAAATCACAAAAATAAAATACTCCCTCTGTCCCATAAGAAGATACGATTTTCTATTTTTATCCGTCCTAAAACAAGGATATTACTTTCTTATTCAGTAATTGTATATCTACCTAACATAATTAATACTCTTACAACTTTCAATATATTACACAAATATTATTACTTTTATATCATGCAATCTAATAGGAGTATTTTTGTCTTTTTCACTATAAATAAATAGTATAATACTAATATTAAAAAATTTACGTACAAAAAGTAAACATTACTCTTTTTCCGGGACGGAGATAGTAAAATACAAAGTGTGTTCTCAATAAAAATACTCCCTCCGTCGTGGTGCAAAATTGCCGTTTTATGTTTTGCACGCAAATTTTTGAATATTAGTATTATAATAAATTATAGTGAAAAAGACGAAAATATTCATATTAATATTGTGTAATATAAAAGTAATGATATTTATATAATATAGTTTAAATTAAAAGAATATTTATTATATTAGGTGGTAGTTATAATTACTAAAATAAGAAATAGTAATTATGAAAATTGACAAACTTTCGAGACGAGGGAGATACTCCCTCCGTACCAATCCAATAGTCTTGTTTACCATTTTTATCCGTTCTAAAACAATAGTCTCATTTTCATAAATAATTATATCACTATAAAACTATTTCTACATTTTCATTATTATTACACAATTGTCACTATTTTTTACACTCATATATTCACAAGGCTAAAAAAGTCATTTGTCTATATATTTTACCGACTATCGATATAATATCACTATTTCTTAAATCTCGTATCCAAACACAATAAAAAGTATAATTTTGGAAGATGGGAGTAGTAATAATAATAACCAAAATACATACATAAATTAATCCCAAACAAACAAATAAACCACCAATTCAATTCAGACAGAACAGTGAATTCAACTATTTTAAAACCTGTGCAAGTTCCTCCAGGCCCTCCTTCTCCCTCCTCTCTCTCTCTCTCTCTCTCTCTCTCTCTCTCTCTCTCTCTATATATATATATATGTATATATATTTGTGTGTGTTTATATCATCTGACCCACAACTTTTTAGATCCTGATTTGGCTTTGCATGCGGAAGCTTGTCCTTTATACTAATATTTTCACATATTTATTATTATTAAATTAGAGATTATATATATATATATATAGGCAGGGAGGGTGGGGGGGTTGAGAGGTCCGAGGGAAGTTAAGTCTCCTCTGCTGTGTACATAATCTCCCAAAACTGAATCAGTCCCCATTTTGGGGACCCTTAGCTTTAGATTTGTGTCCCCATTTCACCCTTTTTACACATCTCTAATTTTGATCTTGATTTTGATTTTGATTTCGATTTTCCTTTTAAGCATGTCAACGTCGTCGTCGTCATCATCATCATCATCGTCTTCGGAAGAAGCTCCTGGAAGACGACGTGATGGCGGCGGCGGCGGCGGCGGTGGGGGAGATGTCGCCGGCCCTTCGTCGAGGAGGATTAGGCCGAGCAATGGTGTCTGGCCTGAGCCTTTCGTCGAAGCCCTAGCTTTCCAAGTCGCCATTGATGCTTACCTCTCCGATGGTCGTCTTGCTGCTGCTCAAGCCCTCGTTGAACACATCTTTCAGGTGCATTATTATTATTATTATTATTATTATTATTAATTTTCATCTCCTATTTATTGATTGATTTATAATTATATATATATACACGCACAAACACGTGTGCGTGCGTGTGTGTGTGTGGGGACATGGAATGGGGATTTTGTTTGTAGGGATTGGAATTCTTGGTGATGAGCTTTTAATGATTGTCGCCTTAGGCATTGAATTGAATTAAAAAGACAAGATTTTTAATTTTTAAAATTTTAATTTTTTAATTCTTTAAAATTCTACTTCTATTTAATTATTTAATTTTTATTGAGTCGATTAAGTTACGTCACATCATCACATCGCAAGATAATCTGCGCAATCTTTGACCAAATCATGGTTAAACACTGTGCCCTAAACTCAGTCTCTTTGCCTTCATTAACGACAAGATTTAGCTTTAATTAAGGATTCGATTCGATTCATCCATCAATTTTGTAGTTACAAAGATTGAGAGAAATTGACTCTTCTGTTTGTTAAGGTCAAACCATGAAAAGCTCAGAAACTCTTTCATCTTCTGCCATCAGAGGGTTTATCCATTTTTGGACAGACCTTTTGGATCCGATCTTAACCTTCGAAAAAAGGGTTTTTTTTTTTGTTTCAGAAATGGCTTTCCTTTCCTTTGGAAGATACCTTTCTGTAGAGAGAGAGAGAGAGAGAGAGAGAGAGAGAGAGAGAGAGAGAGAGATAGATAGATAGAGAGAGAGAGAGCTCTACTTCTGCTTTCTCTGTCAAGTTTATACCGTAGCTCAGGATATTGATGGAGACCCTTCTGCCGAATTAAATACATACATTCATATATAGATACATATCTTTATATATCTATATATATGAATACTCCTATCTTTGTAGATGTGCAAAATTGATTTGTAAAGAGTCCAGAAAGTATGTGTGCTTTTTTGAAAATGAAGTGTTCGAGTCATCGTCTTGTCCCTTGGGTCTTCTGTGTCTGTATCTGTGTCTGTCTCTGTCTATCTGTCTGTCTGTCTCTTTCTCTCTCTCTCTTCTCTCTCTCTCTCTCTCTACCTGTGCAAGTACTTCTTCTACTTCTTCTTCTTCTTCTCCAAAGGCCTTGAAAACCAATTTGTTTTCATGTTAGGCAGACAGCTGTGAACTTGCAGTGATTTTTCTCATTAGGTTGTCTGAATTGGTGTGTACTTTGGCTTTCAATAATCTTTCTCTATCTCTCTCTATATGTATATAAAGATATCTGTATCATGAATATTGCGACCATTTAAACGAGGGAAAAGCTGTCAGTGAGTAGCAGAGATTGGAGCATTACATCACGCAGAGATCGATCAGGACAAAAGTATAAAGTCCATGCTTAGCTATGTCAGGCTACCTGATTCCTTCGATTTTCTCACCCCCTCAATATATATAAATCAGTATGGGAATGGGTATTTTTAAGTCGATTAAATTAAATGGGGATTTGGCATGCCTGCCTGCCCGCCTGCCTGATCATCAGATATCTTGGATTTGGGAACAATTTGTATCTGTCAATTTATTTTGTTCAAAAGCATGATATTGAATGTGGGGATTCCTTCCCAAGACGAGCCTGCGCAGTGAAAAAAGGCGTCTTTTTAAAATCTGCAAATATTATTAGAGAGATTAGAGAAGAATGCTCATCCAACAATACATACATCTTTATATATATATATATATTCTTGGCCTTTGCAATATTTGATGCAGTGGTCGGCAATGGTGTCAGTCGCATCGAGTCAACAATGCATCATTGAAATGATTAATTATGATTTCTTCCTAGACCTGCTTTGCTCGTTTGTTTGTTTCTGTCTCGATAATTTCTTTGTTTGATTGAGATTTTTAATCTGTTTGGCTTTTGATTGTGTTCCAATTTGTTGTTTTGGGTTTATGAACATTTATGCATGCAAGGTGTTCGATCTATTGCTCCAGTAAGTTCTTGAGTTTCATTTTGTACCTGAATTTGTTGTGATTTTGATTTAAAATGTTATTTATAAACTATTTTGACGAGCGAAAATAGTATATTTTTATTGAAAATTGTACGAATTGACGGCTGCAGGTTTGCTCGACGTGGCTTATGATATCGCGTTCCGAGTTGCTGTGGCAAAACTTGGCGAGACGTATCTGGAACGTTCGAAGCCTCGAGCGTGGCACTTGGCGCGAAGAGTACATCTACCGGCACCGGACGGCGAGCAATTTCCGCGTGCCGAGATACATCTACACCACACTCCAATTTGTCGCGCCGGAGGACGACAACAACAACAATAACAACAACGACGGACTCGTGTGTCGCAGGCTTGCCTTGTCGACCCGCCACATTGCCGCCGGGTTCTCCAACGGCGCCGTTCGCCTGTTCCATCTTCCGAGCCGGCTTCACGTCTCCACATTCTACCCGCAGCACCGCGATCGTCTCGGTCGATTCTCAAGCGCCGTCTCGGGGATCATCCTATCCGACTACAGCCTCGTGTTCGCCACCGTCGACGGCGACATCCACGCAGCCGTCATCAACGGCATCACGCCGCTGCGCCGCGCGCATTTGGGCGACGTCGTGAACGACGGCGCATTGGTCGACTTCGCCGGCAGCAGCCAGTGGTGGGTCGGCCTCTTCGCAGGTGAGTTCTCATCGATTTCATTGCGATCGCAAAAACACGAATAATCAACTATTAATACAAAATTTATCCGATCGTCGTGTAGGTGTCCCGGGCCGGGCCTTCCACATATGGAACGGTGAGACTGAGGAGCTAGTTTTCGTCGGCGGAACCCTAACCGATCCGGAAGCCGTAATGGGGTGGCATCTACTAACCGAGCTAACCGATCTAATCGGGCGGGTGAGAGTGACGTGCCACGAGAGCGCCGTGGCATGCACGAATCTCCGAGTGATCGTATTCGACCTACGGAATCAAGGGGTTATATTAGGCGAAGAGGAGATCCGGAGGGGGATAATGGTGGGGATGTTCGACGCAAACGACGAGTCAGCAATGGTAGTGGACGGCAGGGGTGTGGCGAGCATTCGACGAGCGGAGAATCTCGACGAAGTGTGTAGGTTCCCGGTGAGGGGGGCGGCGCAGCATAGGGGGGCTCTAGGGAGCGTAAACGGAGGGTACGCCGTCGTTTTCGTCGGCGGGGTGATTAGGGTTTGGGAGATAGAGAATGGGAGGAGTTTGTACAATGTGGATGAGATGATTGGGGAATGTGATGCCCTAATTGTGGATGAAAGGTATGTGGCAGCTTCATCTGGGGATGGGATAATTCATGTTTGGGATTTTGGGGCACAATGATATTAAGGAAGAAGAAGAAGATGAAGAAGAAGTGATGAGTTTGATGATGTTAAGGTTGTTGATGGATTTTGATGATGTTATGGATTAGGGTTTGTTTGTGATTGGTTTTGATAGTGATAGGGCAGGCCAAAAAGAACCCTTTTGTTTGTTTGTTAGTTTGTATTTTTGGAATGGATTGGATTTGTCTAAGAAAGAAATGAGCAGTGGGCAGGGCAGGGCGGGCAGCCATCACTTTCATCGAGATTGTGTTTGTACAATGCATGTACTCTTTTTCTTCCTATTGTTTTACCTCATTTGTTAGTGGGATGGATTTATATATGTATATATATATTTTGATAGAAACTCCCGTGAACTAAGTCTACAACACAAGTTAGACTAAACGAATCACGTGTGACACATGAATCTGAAGGCGTCGGAACTTAAATTTATAATCTTACGATCACAAGTTTACTCTCTACGCCATCATACAATTACGGACTATGTTATGCCCCTTTTATTTGTGTATGTTGTTATACTATATATTTCGTGTTAAGATATCTTGCAAAGTACAAATACTATCGGGCCGGTGTATTTTGTAGGGCAAATCGGAACAGTGGGATTCGAACACAATATTTATGATTGTGATAGCATACTAGATAATGTATATATTCGTTTCATTTAAAAATTTAAGCAATTAGGTATATCTATAAATTATTTATTTATTTACAAATGAAAGTCAATCAACATGTAATATTGAAAAAGAAAAAAATATATTTATACAAAAACACAAAACAAATAAAACCTTTTAGTACTAGAATTTCCTTTCTTAGTCTCGGAAAATGTCTCGGAAACTTGGAGACTATGTAAAATAGTTTCGGATTTTTAAAAGCTATATTAAATATATAATTTATTATATTGAATAGTTTCGAAAATTCCGAACTTATTTCAAATAATCTTGGAAATTCCGAATATGTATTAGTTTAAAAAAATTCCAGACTTTTAATTTCAGAACTTTGAAACTGTTTGCTGTTTTTTGGTGTTTGCCGGAGCACTGGCCATTGTCGGAGCACCGCTTGGAGTATCCGGAGATCCTGAGCCGTATAGGAAGAATCCATCCAGTTGTTGCTATTTCCGGAAGCTGTTTCCCGTAGAAGATCTAGATGTCTCCGCAATGTGTTGGAAAATCTTCATCTTCGATCTCTCTTGGCAATGCAATAAAGAAGTGTTGACTGCGTGTTTAGTTGAAAATTTGAATTTTGGGTATGAGTTTTAAATAATAAAAAAAAAATTAAATTTGAACAATTGCAGAATTTGATATAATTAGCAGGTTTTTGGATATAAAATTAATTTTAATATAATATAAAAAATATTTAATTTAATATTTTTTAAGAGAAAAATTACTTAATAAATAACAAAATTCGAGGCAAATTTCCTCGACCAAATGCACTCTAAGTTTCACTCAAACACTTTGTCTTTAAGAAGATGCAATCTCATATCTAGTTGCAACATTCACTATATGTTGTCCACACCCGGGCATTCCTTTAGGCTCGTCCCTATTACTATCTTTTTCTTCTTATTATTTGTTTCAATAGTTCGTGCTTATTCTTACTTTCAACCTCCTTTATTTTTTATAATGTGGGAATCTGCAGTCACTACTCGAAAGTGCCAACTGGATAAATACCCTGTTGAATTTAATATCTTGCAAACTAGGTCCGACAAGAAAAGACCCAACAATGCAAGTCATATTATGTGAACCATACGTGGCAGGTGGACCTTTAGGCGCCGAAATTTAAACCCATGACCTCACGGTCACAATTTCACTCCCCACATCACCCGGTCATCCCTTACAGGACAACTCTCAACCTCTTTGATTAGTAGGCGGACGGACGGGCTAAACCCCCTACTTTAAATTCCATTCACAAAGCTAATTAGATCATATCGTGACACATTGGTACGGTCTATTATGACTATTACTATAGCCCATTTACCGTACTATAATATTTTTTTATATTATACGTACAAAATATTTTCTTCATCCAAATACTAATATATGCTCAATATACAAGTATTGTGCAAATAAATTAAATTAAATAATTTTTTTTTAATAAAATAAATAAAAATTTGATCAAATCTTTTACTTCATACTTTATAAAAATTAAGCCATGATTCATCTTTATTTTACAAACTGTAAAAATAATTATTTTTTTTCTTTATTTTTTTTATTCAAGTAATGATCTTAAAAATATTTCATCCAATTATATTTATAATACTTGCATAGTTAAACATGCATTTACTAACAAATTAGTATAAATTATGCAATAAATAAAATATAAAATCAACTTCAACCCATTACTCTATTGTTGCAATAGTTACGGTAGTTGATGTAGAGTAATTTTACTTCAACATAAACTTTAATGTTCGTTTTAAAAACTATATTCCCTATATATTTCTTCTTTATATTATTTTATATTTATAAATTACTCTTTAATTTATTTTTACATTTTAACCCAAAAATATATAATTACATTATTTAAAAAATATATATAATTATATATCAGTTTCGGAAAAGAAAAATTATATCACATAAAAAAATAAAAATTATACATTATTTTTTTTAAAAAATAAAATTATACTTACTTTCCAAAAAATAATGCAATTTACACTATAAAATTATAAGATAAATTTGATAATTAAACATATAGATATATACAATAAATATAGCTTTAACTAAAAATATGTTTATATTATACGAATTAAGTAGTAATTAGGTGGACTGCTTTTTCCAAATCCAATAAATTCACATATAAATAAAATTAAATTCATTTTCTAATGCAAAATTCTCACCCGCCACATGGAAATAATCTTCCACAAAATCGATCATCATCCAAAATTTCGACACATACATTCACATTATATTTTCATTACTTTTAAATATATTTTAAACTAAATTTCATACATATATAAAATAAAAATAATGTATATAAGTGTACGAAAGGCCATGGGAAGTTGAACAAACTCAATCTCCCTCAACAACCAATAAGGGGCAGGAAAGTTCTTCTGCCTATAAAATCCCCAATTACAAACCCTAATATTCAATCCATCCATCACTCAAAACCTTAAACCAATCACAGATCATCAACAATTATATTAATTAATTGTGTTTTTGGCCGGCCAATTGAGTTCAATATCGTCGATCTATCGAGCTTAGCAGCAATGGCGACATTATTGGATCATGGCTGCAATTCCCTTCTCCTGCTGCTGATCATCACTTTCTCAGCCATAACCTGCAACCTCCACCCGGCGGCGGCGGCTCGGCAGCTCCTCGAAACACCCACCAAGCCGGAGATTCCAGAATTGCCAAAACCCCAGATTCCGGAAGTACCAAAGCCTGAGCTCCCGAAGGTCCCGGAACTGCCTAAACCAGAGCTCCCAAAGCTGCCGGAACTTCCGAAGCCTGAGGTCCCGAAGCTGCCGGAAGTCCCAAAACCTGAGCTCCCGAAAGTGCCGGAAGTTCCGAAACCAGAGCTACCAAAGCTGCCGGAAGTTCCAAAACCTGAGCTCCCGAAGGTGCCGGAAGTTCCAAAACCTGAGCTACCAAAGCTGCCGGAAGTTCCAAAACCCGAGGTCCCGAAGGTGCCGGAAGTTCCAAAGCCTGAGCTCCCAAAGCTGCCGGAAGTTCCGAAGCCTGAGCTCCCAAAGGTGCCAGAAGTTCCAAAACCCGAGGTCCCGAAGGTGCCGGAAGTTCCTAAGCCCGAGGTCCCGAAGGTGCCGGAATTGCCTAAACCTGAGGTCCCAAAGCTACCAGAAGTTCCGAAGGTGCCGGAATTGCCTAAACCTAGTTTGCCAGAAGTCCCGAAATCTCCATAATCTGCTGCTGCTTGCATGATGCAGATTGAATTCTACTATATATATATCCATTGATGGTAGAGAGTGAGGAATTGGCCATTTGTATTGTTTTTACATGCTGTTGTGTCTTGCAGTTTTACATTTCCATTGTTGATTCATATTTGTATTTGTATGTCATCACATTTATATACTATGCATTTTCTTTCCATGAATATATACTGCAGCAATAACTATTGTTTAATTTTATAATTGACATATATAGTGGAGATATTATAATTACAAACAACATACTACTTAGTTAATATAATAAATATAAAACACATTATATAATTCTATAAATATATATATATGCTATTATTAATTTTAATATAAAAGATAATATTTGTTGTAACGAATTAGAAGAAATGTAAAAAATACATAGATTTACTTGGTTCACCAACAACAACGTTACATATTACAAATGCCGACTTTCTATACAAATTAAGTTTGATTAAATATCTCTAAATATATTCAAATAAATTAAGGGAATACATCAGATGAGCTCACCCAATACAAATTCAAAAGCCTAATACAACATACTGTCGGATCGGGGCAACTCCGCACCCCCGACCCCAAGCAACCCCTTGACCCTCCGACTCGCTGACCGGGCAGTAAGATTCCGTAAAAATTCACGAAAATAACAAACTAGAATCAAGACATATAAACAATATTCATATGATACAAGTAAAGTATAAAATGAACCACATATGCTAACCGGGCAAATCAAATATAACCAATGTTGGTCAATAAAAGAATAAAAATAAAACACGTAAATGGAAATAACAATATGATTAAAATACCTTCTCAATCTACGAGTATATATATTAATCCCTATTTAAAATTTTCATTTCTACTTTTGTTAATTTTACTTTTGTGATCTCCTAACACTTATATCTTAAAAGATAAAATTACATTAATAATTGATGCACTTGTTTAAATGAGGATTATATTAGAACAGCCTTGGTAGAACGAAATTGGTTGCATTGATATCAACATGACTTTCTTCGTATAAGGGACAACATGCATTAGTTGTAGGTTCCGAACTTGTCCAAATACCACACGCTTTCATATAATATATATTTCTTACAACTAATTGACGAACAATCATTGTCTATTCAAGAAGTTGCTGCCAAATAGATCCATTACCTTCCGAACCTTCAGCTTCTCTTGTTCGGAATTGCTACAAATTCTTAGCCATCCCTACAATCAATTCTCGGGCGCCTTTTGGAGTTTTATTCCCAATGCTCATTGGCTAGCATGTATTATATCAATCTCTCATGCCAAGTACTTTATAAGAGAATCGGAGCAACAATTGTTCAGAAATATAGTGTTCGGGGCATCGCGCACAAAACCTATTGAAACTTTCTAGAAATTCGTTCAAATTTTTGAATCAATTTATTATTCATCATGTGTCTCGACAATCTGGTGAAATAAAATTTTTCTTGTTGATAGAAGTTTTGAATAAACTTTTCAATATTCGATAAAAAACACTCGAATGAGCTGTTCCCAGCCTATTGCCTATTGGCGGGTAATGATTCGCCGTCGAAGTAACTTTATTATAATTAGTTCTATTATCAAAATATAATTAAACATATACATATATACAACAAATTAACTTAGACTTCAATTAAAAATTTGTTCATATTATACGAAGTAAATTAGGTGGACTGCTTTTCCAAACCCAATAAATTCACATATAAAATAAATTAATTGCATTTTCTAATGCACAATTCTCACCCACCACATGGAAATAATCCTCCACAAAATCGAACATCATCATCTAAAATTTCGACACATAAAATCCACATTATATTTGTTTTACTTATAAATATATTTCAAAATTCATACATGAATAAAAATATCATAAATATAAGTGTGAGAAAGGTCATGGGAAGTTAAACAAACTCAAATTTCCTCACCAACCAAAAAGGGACAAGAAATTTCTTCTGCCTATAAAATCCCCAATTCCAAACCCTAATTCTCAATCCATCCATCATTCAAAACCTCAAATCAATCACAGATCATCAATAATTATATTGATTAATTGTGTTTTTGGGCGTCGATCGGCGGCCAATTGAGTTCAGTATCGTCGATCTATCGAGCTTAGCAGCAATGGCGGCATTATTTGATCATGGCTGCAATTCTCTTCTCCTGCTGCTGATCATCACTTTCGCAGCCATAACCTGCAACCTCCACCCGGCGGCGGCACGGCAGCTCCTCGAAACACCCACCAAGCCGGAGATTCCAGAATTGCCAAAACCCCAGATTCCGGAAGTACCAAAGCCTGAGCTCCCGAAGGTCCCGGAACTGCCTAAACCAGAGCTCCCAAAGCTGCCGGAACTTCCGAAACCTGAGGTCCCGAAGGTGCCGGAAGTTCCAAAACCTGAGCTCCCGAAGCTGCCGGAACTTCCGAAACCTGAGGTCCCGAAGGTGCCGGAAGTTCCAAAACCTGAGCTCCCGAAGCTGCCGGAACTTCCGAAGCCTGAGCTACCAAAGCTGCCGGAAGTTCCTAAACCTGAGGTGCCAAAAGTGCCGGAAGTTCCGAAACCTGAGCTCCCGAAGTTGCCGGAAGTTCCGAAACCTGAGGTGCCAAAGGTGCCGGAAGTTCCAAAAACTGAGCTCCCGAAGGTGCCGGAAGTTCCGAAGCCTGAACTCCCGAAGCTGCCTGAAGTTCCAAAGCCTGAGGTCCCAAAGGTGCCGGAATTGCCTAAACCTGAGGTCCCAAAGGTGCCGGAATTGCCTAAACCTGAGGTCCCAAAGCTACCGGAAGTTCCGAAGGTGCCGGAATTGCCTAAACCTAGTTTGCCAGAAGTCCCGAAATCTCCATGATTTGCTGCTGCTTGCATGATGCAGGTTGAATTCTACTATATATATATATATATACAGAGGATCATCTATATCCATTGATGGTAGAGAGTGAGTATTTGTCGATTTGTATTGTTTACATTTCCATTGTTGATTCATATTTGTATGTGAATGATGTCATCACATTTATATATATGCATTTTCTTTCCATGAACATATACAGCAGTAATAACTATATATTATTGTTCAATTTTATAATATAACACAGTATTGATATATTATGATTACAAACAACATACTATTTAAATTAATATAATAACTTTTAAAAAATACATGATATAATCTTATAATATATATATGCTATTATTATAAGCAATGTTGGTTAATAAAAAAACAAAAATGGAAAGCACAATATGATTAAAATACCCATTTTGATCTACGAGTATATATTTTAATCTCTATTTAAAATTTTTATTTCTACTTTTATTATTTTTACTTCTGTGGTCTCCTAACATTTATATCTTAAAAGAAAAATTACATTAATAATGGATTTCAGTTGTTTTAATAAGGATTATATTACAAAATCGATTATATTCACATCAGTCGTAGGCTCCGAATTTGTACAAATACCACATGCTTTCATATGATGTATATTCCCTACAACTAATTAACAAACAATCGTTGTCTATTAAAATATTTTCTGTCGAATAGATTCATTATCTTCCGCACCTTAAACTTCTCTCGTCCGGAATTGCTACAAATTCTTAGTCATCCTTGCAATAAACTCTCATGCGCCTTTCGGAGTTTTATCCCCAATGCTCATTGGGTAGCATAATTAATATTGTTCAAATCTTTCATGCCAAGGCATTTATAATAGAATCAGAGCAACAATTGTTCAGTAGTATGGTGTTTTGGGCATCGAGCACAGAGCCTATTGAATCTTTTGAAATATTCGTGCAATTTTTTCTTTTGTTGTTGTTGTTGTTGTTGTTGTTTACTACCGCAAATTTCTTTGTTTAGTGTTGCTTTTCGTGATGCAGGAAATATTATTTTAATTTTTTTTTTTCTTGTCCATCCAAGTATTATTAATGTCCCAGTAAACAAAAGAGTCATTTCTTTGTCGTATCCTTCAATGAGAATATAAATACCCTTAGTTTCATTTGTTTATCCTTAGCCGGTGATTTTATGCTTGAACTTACGTGGTTTCTCTCTTGTAGTGCCGTAACAATAATGCAAACAATCTATTAGTCCATATCATAATTCAAAAAGTGTCAATGTAAATAGTTGTAAATTTAAATTGGGCGCTCTCAGCCATAATGATTTCTTGCTTCGTCAGTCCACTCGGAATAGAATTCAAGATTTTTTCAAATTTCAATGTGTTTTTTACTTTTTTTTTTTGTAATTTTCTCGCTAACTTCTCAATTTTTGATTCGTGTATCAAATTTTATGTACAAGACGAGATGAGCATAAAGAATTAGGATAGGCAAGATATATAATAATATAAATATATAAATAAAAAAAAAACACAAAAATAATTCAAATGTCATTATCCAACAACACTGTCAAAATTGGTAGTCTTCATAGCTTCAACAAAAATTTTCTAACATTAACACATATCGTATATTAAGTGGTGTCGAAGTAGAATGAAAGAGAAATTATTTCCTATATGATCACAAGTTAAATATTGGGAGGGACTAAAAGTTTAGCTAAAAATAAAATCAATTAAATTAAAACATAACTCCGACCAAGATTAAATCTCTTGCAAAAAAGTGGACAAGAAACCAGAGTAATAATTTGATCATTATATTAAAATAATCTTATTGATCGATTAATAAATTGGTTAAAGATACTTAGATACATTCATAATATCCAATTTTTTCTTGTCTTGTTTGTGGCAATGGTACAATAGATTAACCACACTCCTAGTTAAAAACTAAACTAGATATGACCATAGAATAATATTAAATATTCAATTTTTTTAATAAAAATATTCATACTTTATACCACATCATTATTTTTATTAAAAAGTAAAGGTAAACATATCATTACATTATTTTTAACTACCAACTATAATTAAAATATTATTATTTTTTAAACTTCACCTAAATAATAAATATTTTCTTTGTAACCGGACGGAGGTAGTAATTTTCCTTTTTTAGAAATTAGTATGAGACAATTAATTTGAATATTCAATCAATTACCAAAAAAATTATATGTTTTATAATGTAATTTCTAGGTCAAGCTCGTCAACTTATTAACCAATTCATCAAACAAGTACACAAATTCGTATACAAATATTTGATTGGCACACAATTCTAAAATAATATATATCCGAAGTAAAACAATTATGGATATAAGTTGTAAAAAATGTACGAATATCACCTTACAAAAAAGATTCAATACATATCAAAACACATATCACAAATTCAAATCCGAAGTCTAAATTTAATCTCGTACCAACCAAATTAACCTAGCCTTAATTAAAAATTTGTTCATATTATACCAAGTACGTTAGGTGGACTGCTTTTTCCAAACCCAATAAATTCACATATAAATAAAAATTAATTGCATTTTCTAAAGCAAAATTCTCACCCACCACATGGAAATAATCCTCCACAAAATCGATCATCATCTAAAATTTCGACACATAAAATCCACGTTATAATATATTTCGAAATTCATGCATAAATAAAAATATTATAAATTTAAGTGTGAGAAAGGTCATGGGAAGTTAAACAAACTCAAATTTCCTCACCAACCAAAAACGGATAAGAAATTTCTCCTGCCTATAAAATCCCCAATTACAAACCCTAATTTTCAATCCATCCATCATTCAAAACCTCAAACCAATCACAGATCATCAATAATTATATTGATTAATTGAGTTTTTGGGCGTCGATCGCCGGCCAATTGAGTTCAGTATCGTCGATTCGATCGAGCTTAGCAGCAATGGCGGCTTTATTCGATCATGGCTGCAGTTCTCTTCTCCTGCTGCTGATCTTCACTTTCGCAGCCATAACCTGCAACCTCCACCCGGCCGCGGCGGCTCGGCAGCTCCTCGAGACACCCTCCAAGCCGGAGATTCCAGAATTGCCAAAACCCCAGATTCCGGAAGTACCAAAGCCTGAGCTCCCAAAGGTCTCGGAATTGCCAAAACCAGAGCTCCCAAAGCTGCCGGAAGTTCCGAAACCTGAGGTCCCGAAGCTGCCGGAAGTCCCAAAACCTGAGCTCCCGAAAGTGCCGGAAGTTCCGAAACCAGAGCTACCAAAGCTGCCGGAAGTTCCAAAACCTGAGCTCCCGAAGGTGCCGGAAGTTCCGAAACCTGAGCTCCCAAAGCTGCCGGAAGTTCCAAAACCTGAGGTCCCGAAGGTGCCGGAAGTTCCAAAACCCGAGGTCCCGAAGCTGCCTGAAGTTCCAAAGCCTGAGCTCCCAAAGCTGCCGGAAGTTCCGAAGCCTGAGCTCCCAAAGGTGCCAGAAGTTCCAAAACCCGAGGTCCCGAAGCTGCCGGAAGTTCCTAAGCCCGAGGTCCCAAAGCTGCCGGAAGTTCCTAAGCCCGAGGTCCCGAAGGTGCCGGAATTGCCTAAACCTGAGGTCCCAAAGCTACCGGAAGTTCCGAAGGTGCCGGAATTGCCTAAACCTAGTTTGCCAGAAGTCCCGAAATCTCCATGATTTGCTGCTGCTTGCATGATGCAGGTTGAATTCTACTATATATATATCCATTGATGGTAGAGAGTGAGGATTTGTCGATTTGTATTGTTTACATACTGTTTGTGTCTTGCAGTTTTACATTTCCATTGTTGATTCATATTTGTATGTGATGATGTCATCACATTTTTATACTATGCATTTTCTTTCATGACTATATATATATATATAGGGCAGTAGTATTGTTCTAAATTTATAATTCTAACACAATGATAGTACAGAAACAACATATGATAGAAGAAATGTGACACTGGCCCACAACCCGCATAATCTCGGACGTATTAGGATTGCAGACTGATCCCACAGGTGAACACGATTTTTAAGACGCTTTTGTCCTCACTTACATGTATGAAAGATTTCCAAGGGTCACCCGCCCTCAGCAGGGCGTCTCGGACTTTTTTTTAAGCTCTGAGCGAAAATAAATTATAGGTCCCACAAATAAATGATTAAAATATATTTTTAATAATATTACTGATTGACGTTGATTGAACAAGAGGTTGAATGATCGTCTGGACAATGTCAATTTGAGAAAAGAAGATGAAAGACGGTCTGTCTAAAAGTTCGAAAAACAAGAAGGACCGAAGGAAGGTGAAAGATATAACATAAAAGGTGAGACAGGTTTGATCTAGTTGCTAGGGACAATACTATAGGGTGTAAGACAAAAAGTCTATACGATTAGAAATAAATAATTTTTTTATATATATATATGATTAGAAATTTAAATTTAATTTTAAAATTAAATAGGATAATTATGAAAAAAGAAAAAAATATAAATTAAAAGTTAAAATTTAATTTTAAAATTTAATAATAATAATAATAGATAATATTTAAAATATAGGCCTTTTATTGATTAGGGGCTTTGAGCAGTTACTCATCCTGCTCCTGCTATGAGCTGAGCCGCCCCTGACCCTCAAATTATTAGGGCAAGCAGCTTAACCAGCGCAACTCGACGTTTAAACAACGTATTCCGATTAAAAAAAATGTATATTTGATAGAATTAAATAACATATGTTCTGTCCCATAAGAGATGTCCGATGGCGTAACCCTGACGACTCCATATCTTGTCTATCACACATAATTTGAGCGTTGTCAGATTTAGTTTGCAATCTCGATCGGGATTTACCTAGAACAATTAATTAATAACATGGATCGATCTTGTAGAGATTTTTGTGAATTTCATAAGACAAATTACCTTAGTGGAATGTGCGTCGTCCTATTGAGGTTTTTTCGGGAGTGGTCCATATCATTGTCGTCCGAAGATCCCATCCGCTGCGGAACCTTCGAACAATGAACCATTAATTAATTAAGAAAAATAAAATAAACTAGGAGAAGAACTATTATTAAGATTAACATGGAACGGGAGGGAGTATATAATTGTAATTATAATTATTATTTATTAATATTAATAAAAACTGTATGTAAATTTTGTTTATCAAGGATGTGTTTAGTTTTGTTTGAAGTCTCAAAGCTATCATTATTTAATATTTATGATTCTCAATAAAAATATAATAAAATATATAAATTTTACAAATAAGTAATAAACAATAAAATTAGAACTTAAAGAAAGATTTTTAATACAATTTATTTATTTACATTACACTTTTTTAAAAAGTTTAAATAATATTTTTATAAATTCAAATTGAAATCTAATACTCTCTGATTTTAGACGTCTTCCATCACCATTTCCACGTTGTCGCTCCTGTCTCTAAAAATATCAGCTGGGAGTAAAATCGAGGCTTAAATTTGAAGTGAACGCCGCTCTCGTCTCATGCAGTCGAGGCAATTTCGATGGATGCATTTAATTTTTTCTCAGCATGCAATGTTTTTATAACAAAAACGCATATAACATAGAAAACAAGCAGAAAACTGAAGCCTATTCCCTGTTTTACTTCAACTTGCCATTCTGCAGTCTATTCCGAATCGAAGCCTTCTGCAAGAACGAGCAATACCTTTCCCGTTGGCGCCAGACAGTCGGGTTCGACACTCCCACAATTATCAGAAGCAGTATTTATTCAAAATTAAAACTACTGATTGCTACAACAGACACCATGTAAATTTCCAGTCACCAATGTAATAGTTTATCTGTAATAACCCCAGAGTTGAATAGTGATATGAATAGTCGGAGAGGATATGATACCCCGATGTTAAATAGAGGTTAAATGGATTGAATAAACTACTCATGTCAATAATGTGCACATTTTTTTTCGAAAGCTCTAATTAAAGAACTTTAGAATTAAATGTGTTTGCTCTAGAGATATTTAACCGGTTGAGCTAAGGTATGACCTGTGGCGTACTATGAGAATGCAGTACTAACTCAAGCAAGAACTTAAGGGGTAAAAATACTGTAATAGTCCATTAGAGTATCAAAAGGTCGTCGACAAGATCGACACTAGTTTTTAGGGACAACCTAAGTTTACAAATCAATTACATTTCAATGTATCAGAAACTTCACAATTGAATTCATAAGGTCTATTTTGGTTTGGGAAAGCATCGCGAGCAACTTCAACACTATTTCTTACACCACTTATCGAACGGGAAATAAATATACTAAACAAGAAAGCTAAAGAAGCCAGATTTGAAAATCGGACCCCTCTATGATTTCTTCTAAACTCTCACTAATGATCCATATTGCTCCACATGTATTCTACAACTAGCTTTACATCTAAAAGCATATCGGAATTAGGTTTGGATGATCTAAGATTAGCAAGAGTCATTAAAGTTTAATATACTGCTCATGTTAGATCATCAAAGGAAGCAGATAATGACAACTGAGTAAATAGGTTATTTGAGTAAAATAACAAGAATATTCTTTTATACATGAATACTAATTGCATCGTTCGAATTTTGGACCTTGATCACAAAGAGCAAAATCGATCCATATAATGCAGGGGAGATCATAAAGCAATAAACAAACATGGCAGCAGTCAAATTCATTTTGAGTGCGCACGGGTACAAAGGCAATAATATAGATGAACACCTGTTACCTATCAAATAACAGTTCATATATAAAAGAAATTACTTAAATCGAAAGGGATGTACTTGAAGGCAAACCGGATCCTTCTTTTATGATGTGAGGCCGTCTAACCAGTTGCTGATGGTTCTGGATAAGAGTCTAGTGTCATTTACTGAAATGGCTTTTAATCCTTGAGCAATAGCATCTGCCGGAGTGTACACTTGCCCTACGTCCCATCTAGGTTCCTGTCGATACTCAACACAATGAAATCATATCTTAGACTCTATCACATTACCACCATTCATGATTACAACTTGCTCAATCTTTTCACCATTTAAAGGATTTTACCTGTATACATGGTGTTATATGGTTACCGCGTAAAACCACTTTCTCTAGTTTTCCACCAAAAGATTCGACGCGAGGCTTTAGTGTCTCTTCAAGGAGATCTGTCTCATCAATGGTGTCGAAATCAAACTTCACCTAGCAGAATAAAAGAGAAGAAAAAGTAAACATTTGGTATGTTCATGGTGGCATTGCATTCTGTCGAAAATTTGTTATGCAGAGTCGGGCAAGTACTAATAACGTGTTCTTGATGTTATATAGCTTCTTGAAGCAATCAAGATTCTCTGCCGGTGTGGGTCTGAATTCTGAAATCCCTTGTGCAACCTAGATTGAATTTTTGAGACACATTACTGTAAAATCGGAAATTGATGGAAGAAAATCAATAACCTGATTAAAATTTTCGAAAAGTTAGGGTGAAGATAATGCATCCATACATGAACAACGAATCTCGGGATCTAACATATTATGTGGTAACATGTACCTGACCAAATACTGAGGGCAACTGATCTACAAAATTGGTCAGAGACACCGTAGCATCGGCATCATAGTCTGGCAGAACTCGTTCAGCCATGCCTATGAGAGTCTTCCATCCATCTCCTAAATTTTACAAATCTTCAAATAACTTAAGCATAACATCAAATGACGAAAACAAAACCATAACTCGTCCACAGCTAGTTCTCAGACTCGAATATTTTGTTCTACGTGTATATTTGAGAAAACTGAGAATGCACGAACCTGAGATGCTCTGAGCCATCGAATACATGGGAGATGTCTCAATCATCGGCATCAGTTGACTGACCACAGGACCCAACTGCAGTATTCGATATGGTAAATCAAAATCGATTTAGTAAGAATCTTCACATTATTAGCAGCATTTGTAGCCATATTTCCACGGATCATTTCATTAGCTGTGGAATCACTTACAATAGCAGAAACATTTCGAAATACTTTTTCAAATATTATTGTAAAGGCAAACAGAGGAACATCGCAGCACCTGTTCAAAGTATGGAACGGCCTCCGAAGCAGGCTTATTGTTGTATGATATGATTGCATTGGCCTTCAACCAAAAAACCATAAGAAAAGATCAATAATTCATCATCTACTCCAATTTTTATTCATCAAATTAACAAAGAGGAACTTTAAACCTTCGGAATCTTCTCACTGAAATAACTTCCTACAAGCACTTGCAGAAGTGCTCCATTGCTGCAAATTGGTCAAAAACAGAATTCAAACAGCAACAGTGACGAACATGGTATACAGAAGCTCCTATGCTTCAAATTGTTTGAACTAATAGAATTATAAACATTCAGTCAAAAAACAAAAGTCCAATGGATTGGTGAAAATTGATCATAAACCTAAATACACAGATAAGCAAATTGGACTACATTTCATAATTTATCAAACACTTTCTGAGGAAACCACAGTTGTTATAGACATAAGTTAGTCCAATGATTGAATCACCTGACCTGTGTCCAATGCAATAAAATGGTAGATTAGCAATATCAGCAGCTGAAATTCCATTCTCAGGCAATCCAGTCGCCAAAATCGAATCCAAACAAGTATGAAATCGCTGGTAAATCTCTCGAGCAACTCGTTCATGGTCAAAAGTCACATTGTACGGAACGGATATAATCAAATACCCTTCGTTTGCCAACAGCCCAAGAAGATAACTGTTCAATCAATGAAATAAGCCAAAAATACAAAAAAGCAACCAATCAGAAGATAAGCACATACTGTAGATGATTCAGCACCACAGCTCCACCACAAAGCATATCAAATACCTGTAAGTAACTTCGGGCACGGCTCCAATGAAAGCACCGCCTAAAAATTTGATCAAAGCCTTCGGTTTCTTTCCTCTAGCCGGAGGTATAACCAAACATGAATCAAACCTCCTGTATATTTTATCATTGCCATAACCTCTAAATTTCGGGTTGTCAGCACTATTCCCAATGTTGGAATTAAAATTTCCACTAATCTTCCTGGTCTGCGAAGAAGAAAAGGCCAACTGCTCGTAATACCAGCTAACACGAGTGATAATTTTCTGCGGCCTCTTAGAAGTCACAGGTCGAAGTTTCGGGCTTGTCAAGTTGCTGCAAGCGAGAGCAGCTGTCGCCATTGAAGCTTATTCTGTGGAGTGAGAAGCCAAAGCTACGGGAAGACGACGAGGTTGCGAAGGGTAGATTCGTCATTCCGAGGAGAAAGCGCAACTGAGAGGTACACGTGGAAAGACCACTAGCGCTTAATATATTTATTTATTTATTTATCATGAAACGACGTCGTCCTAAGAGAATAGGAAAAATTCAAATCAATGAAAACTGTATAAACACGCTGTTTTAGAAGAGTTAGAATTAATAGATAATTAAAAATATATTATTAAAAATAATTATTTTATAATATAAATAATTATAAATTAAAATTAAGATAACTGATTAGTTTAATTAAAATTAAAAAATAAATTAAAATAAGATTAAAGTGTATGATTATTTTGAAAAAAAGAAATTGATATAGTACGTGGGACGAAAAGAAATGGTAACGTGGACATGGTAGGTGAGACGGAAAGAAACGGCAACGTGGACATGATATGTGGGACAGAAGGAGTATATAAATTTTATTTTTATTAAAAATATAATATTGTATAATTAATTCATATAAATAAAAACAATAAACGTGATATCATATCATTTGTTATTTATTTATTTATTTAAAAAAATAATTTTATTTTGAATTTATTTATTTATAGTTTGAAATTGATTAAAGTAAGAAGTTGATTTAAACTTTTTTTTTTTTGTTAAAATAATATTTTTGATATAAGACAATTTTTTTAAAATTCAGTGATGCTGGTTTTGGAATTGTTCGAGATAAATTCTATAAATTACTGCAGCTTTTAATTGAATTTAATGATTCATCTAATCATGTCAAAAAAATCAAGTGATGCTTATAGATCATCTGCCATCAGTAAGCAAAGCTTATGAATATAAATAAAAAAAATATTTTATAATTCTATTAAATTCATATAATTTTATTTTTATTTTCTTTTATAATCAATCAGCTAAATTTATCACAATTTTGACGATGTCAACAAATCAACATTTAATAATTACGTTTATTTATCGCAAATACTACTACCTTTATTACATTGTCTCTTCAGTTACTTTTATTTCTAAATAAATTAGAAATCATGTGACGTGATGGAGAAAGAAATATATATTTTATTTTTTATTTGGGTAATGTGATGGGATAAAGTGTGGGGTAGAGATTAAGTATAATTAATTATTTCCTATTGGAAATATTGCAGGGTGTTTGAGATAGAAAATGTTTTAAGGAGAGAGTATATCTTAACTACTTGTCACTTTTTCAATAAAATATTCATTTTTTTAATCTTGGCCACACCAAATGGGCTATCGATGGAGAAGAAAGAACACTATGCCTTATAATTGATTTATATATAAAAAACAGTCAGTTATTCGATTATATCCTACAGTTTGATCGGGGTCTGTTCCTCTTTTCTAAAACGAATTCTCCAGTCACAATTTTCATAAGATAAGACTAGTTATCCGTAGATGTCAAGTTTCAAGGATTTGCAAAAACAAATTAAAGAAAGAAGTTGTTCGGTTTTCTAAATTACTTTTCTATTCAATATATAAGCTAAGAGACTACTTTCCAACTGCTGATTATCAACAGCATGGAAAGTCGAGTGCTTGAACGTAATTGTGGTTATTATCACATGAGACAATATTAGGCTGCGCATCGGTACCTATTGTCAGGAACTTCCGTTTGCAGATAAATATTAATAGATTCATTTCCTTAAGTACAAATAAAAAGGCTATGTTTGCTAACAATTATTTAAAATACTTAGTATTATTCATCAAACTCCTATGTTTTCTTTGGATGGATTTTGGAAAATTTTGGGCTATATTTCTTTTGATAAAAACTTAATTTGAAATTGATATTAAAATAATGTATGATAAAATATTTTATGAGAGAATTTTTATTTTTTTTCCTAAAAATGTCGAAATAGTAGAAACCTGAAGTTTGAAGGCCGAAAAAACAAACCCTAAAATTTATTTTTTTCAAAACAAGCAGTCGCGTCAAATATATGATTTAAATTGTTACAACAAAAACCTAATTTATATTTTTTTACTATTTCTAAACATATCCAAAACTAATAAACAAAGATTTTTTCAAAGCATTTTTGGCAAGAAGAAGGGTTAGGTGCACAGCCAGCATACTTCCAAACCACATACACACAATCTATTTTAATTTCTACGACATGTGTAAACAAACAGCAAAGACAGAAGAAGGATTTTCTTACCAACCATTTTGAATTATCCATGTCAAAAATTCATATGTAATCTAAATCAATCCACCTGCAGACACAAAAAGACTTTCAAGATGTACAACAAATAATGATAATAATAATAATTAGTGAGTCGATGCATAGTTGGAAGAATGGCCATAAGGGGGTTGAACTAACTCATTATCCCTATCAACAACCAATGCACAACACCCTGAAGACTGGTTCTCATCGTCTCGCCTCTATAAAACCCACAGCGCCGTAAACAATCAAAGCATCGAGAAAAAGCAAACACATTGTTTTTTTATTGAAGAAAATTGCATACCTCAGTTTAGTAGCAGTGAACAATGGCATTTGAAAGCTATAGTTCCCTTTTCATCGTGCTGCTTCTTGGCATAGGAGGAAATTGGTACCGAGCAGAGGGTGCTCGTCTGCTGCTGGAGTCAGGTTTGCCTGAGATTCCGAAACCTGAATTACCTGTCCCCCATTTTCCAACTTTACCGAAGCCTGAGCTACCAATATTGCCGAAACCTGAGATTCCGGTGCTGCCCAAGCCTGAGATACCAACATTGCCGAAACCTGTTATTCCAGAGTTGCCTAAGCCTGTGCTTCCAGAGTTGCCTAAGCCTGTGCTTCCGACACTGCCAAAACCTGAAATCCCGGAATTGCCAAAACCTGAGATCCCACATTTGCCCAAGACAGAGATGCCGGCACTGGAAAAGACTGAGCAGCCCAAGCCAGAGGTTCCAACATTGCCAAAACCCGAGATCCCTGAATTGCCAAAACCTGAGGTTCCAACATTACCAAAACCTGAGATTCCAGAACTTCCAAAACCCAAAATCCCAGAGCTGCCGAAACCTGAGATTCCAGTACTGCCGAAACCTGAGATTCCAGAGCTGCCGAAACCCAAAATCCCAGAGTTGCCAGAACTACCAAAACCTGAAGTTCCCAAATTGCCAGAACTGCCAAAGCCTGAAGTTCCTAAAGTGCCTGAACTCCCTAAGATCCCAGAGTTGCCTAAACCTACTTTGCCAGAAGTGCCCAAATCTCCATGATTTGCACGAGTCGGCAAGAATTTGATCTCTGGGACTTGAATTCTTTGGAGTGTGTTCAGCATGATTAAATATGAAGTTTTTACAATTCTCTAGCAATCTTCTAGTTATTTTCAAGTCATGTTACATCTATTATTTGTTTTTGTATTGTGTGACAGAATTTGCACTTCCACTGTTGATTCATATATCTATGTAATATATGCACTATCTTCTTTATATATATATTTTTGCAGCATTGCTTGATTCCCTATTCATTGTGATATTCAACACAATATTGCCCTCCACACAACTTTTATCGACATGTTTTCAGATATTCCGCAGATGCGAAGTCTTGTATCTCATGTAAACTGAGCAATAAGATACACACGAAGAATTAAAATCAGCATCAGGCCATATAGCTAAGGATTAAAATTTCATAAGATATTTCAAGACTTAAGGCCTATAATCCACTGCCTAAGATGATGATAGTTTACCACAGGATCAAACTTCCTCCTCAGACTAACTCAAACTTGTCTGCAATGTTACCGACACACACAGATTGAAAGTCTAGTAGAATACATTGGGTGGTCAGAAATTGTATGAGATGAGGGATGAAACCAAACGTACTAAAGCTCTAAATGTTAATGAATTGACTCCAAGGCACAAGATTAACAGATTTAATTGCATACACTTCTCACATAAAACATTTGCTAAATGGTAGGTACTTGTTCTTTTTCATTCCCCCCAAGTCAGAAGATTGTGTATTACATAATTTGGTTAAACAATTCATATTAAGATAATATTAGTATGAAACATGTAAATGAAAAACTGTTTAATTATGATTGCTTTCCAGAGCAAAAAATAGATACAATACAACATGTATGATAAAATCATTAACCCCTATTTTTATTTTTATGATGCTATTCTACATATGAGCACATATCTTATCTTTTTACTTCTGTATATCATAGCATGATAGTTGATGTGCTTAATAATTAACACATTTTAAATACTATTCAAATTTAGGCCTTCTTGCACTTATCTAATATGATTTATCCTAATTATTATTTTGGAAAAATATATAAGTAAGATTGATTATTTGTTGGAATGTCGTCTTTCAGCATCCAAAAGTTTGCCTTTCAACTACTAGAAGTTCGGTTTGGCACAACACCAAGATCCTTCACATTACCAATCTGGTTTATATCATCTTTGCATCATAGCAGTTACTTCAGCATCTAAGGGAATAATATGACTTAGATAAAAAGGATAATAAACTAATGGTTTTTTCGATGGGATAGATTCTTAAATATCAAGATACATAGTAAAATTCTCAAAATATGACTCAGAGAGATTGATATGTGGTAAAATACTAGTAAATCCTCAGCGCGCGAGATCAGAAATTGAATAGAGTTTCAGAAAACTATTGGCAACATAGCATGCTAGTTAATAATTGCAATAAAATCGCCTTAGGAAGTGGTAATTATTATCTGATCCTGCATGCTTAATTTATTGATCACAATTTGTTTTAATTGAAACACCAAAATTCAATTGAATACAATTTGAAAGAACCTAACACTTAAGAATTCTTCTCCTTGAGTTCACCCCATTCGTAATTATTGCTTAAAAATGCAGTATACAATACATGCAGTAAAATATTTTCACAAATTGAGAATAGTTAATAAGTATCATGGTTAACTACATGACGTCCATAAACTTAACATCATAAAAGCTAGTTTTGGCAAATAAAAACTCCAAAAAGCATATACATATACGTAAGGACTTTAAATAATTGACAACCAACCTTGCCTGATATGAAGGAGTAAAGATCAAGGAAAAGGCTGCTCAAACAACCATTTCTGCTTCTCTAACATCTGTCGGAATTCCCACATCCAACCTCATAGTTGGCTTGTATTGCTCTGGAACTTCAGCACCTGCCTGCACACACAATTCTACGACAGCAGGGGCCTGACCATAGAAGTTCCTGAGCTCCCTATTCAATGGCTTGGTAACATCAGGTACATGCCACACATATCTGGGTGGGATTAAGTCATCAAGAATGGCTGCCTGCCATCCATGCTGCCCATTTCGTTGCTGGTGCTTATGAGCTCCACAGTTCTGTGCTTTATGTCCACTTGGGCCGACATGGACTTCAGGGCAATACCCACAGGCCCTCACGGGATACAATTTCATCAGCCTCTTGGCTCCACTCCTCATTTCATCCCATGCTTGTAGTGTCTCCTCAGCAAGCAATGCTATGTCTTCTTTGCCGGAAGGTGGTACTATTTCAGAATCGAGTGTTTCAGTTAATATTTCTGGCTTGGGGGTGTCAGGATCAGGATCTGGTAGTTCACTTTCATCAGCATCAACAAACTCCTTTTTCCCAATGCGTATGACGGGTTTTCTTCTCCTTTTTGTAGGATATTCAGGCAGGTCGACTCCTGCTTGAATGCAGAGCTCAACAACTGCTGGGATTCTTGGGATGGAAAATCTCTCATCATGATTAATACGTCTCCCAAGACGATCATATAAGTGGTAGGCATCTACTGGTACAAGTATGTCTTCGACAACTGCTGCGCCCCATTCATGAGCCCCTTTACGTATTGAAGCTCGTGGTCCTCTGCATGACTTGAAAGGATGCCCTATAGGGCCAACATGAATTTCATTACACCACCTGCAAGAAGTGCAGTAAGGTAATAAAGAAATTCAGGTGTTGTGAAGTAAGAACACTAGGTGTGTTTGTTTGGGGGTTTGGATTTTGAGTTGGGATTTGAATAGTAAAAATTTTGAATTTGAATAGTTGTATGATGTGATATAAATAGGGTTTGATGTGATGTTTTGAATGTAAAATTGATTTTTAGTATAATATAAAAAATGAAAAATAGGTGTTTGATTTGATGTTTTTGGGGGGAAAAAATTGGATGAATAGTGGAAATCTATCAAAATCCTTCAAACAAACACACCCTAAAAGAACTTCTGAAATTGTTGATTAGAACACTATTAGAAAATATAGAAGATCTTTTATTGTAAATTAGTTATGAGTCTAATGACATGATCACAACTGAAAACTAGTCATTCAGACAAAATGAAAATGAAAGAAATGTTCAGAAGACCATTCTGCTGAGTGATGTAAGAGAAGCAACGCGAATAGCCAAACACTAAAAAGCAGTCAACACAGGTATTTGAAAGAGCCATGAGAAAGTCGGGAATAAGGTTGAAATTACTTGCAGGCATTGACAGGCATCACTTTCAAGAGCTTCCTGAGATTGTTTATTAGCTTTATTCTCTCGTTCAATACCCTGTATGCAAGAGGGATTAGTCTTTGAACCACCAATCCTCTTTTTGGCGGAGGAACCCCTCTTTGTTCGCCATTCCTATTTTTCAACCTCTCTCTAGCAGCTCGTCGTAACTCCACTATAGGTATTGGAAATGGTTTCTTCTCCTTTTTCGAATAGTAACGAGGCAAATCTGCATTCTGAGGGTGATCGCACTCAATCACCAAAGGTCGGACATGAGTAATGCATTTTGGCGAACTTCTAATGTTCAATTGAAGATTAAGGCTCCTGCAACTGTTCTGCAACCAGAAGAACTATTTTAATCCATAAAATCAGCTGTAGCACCAATCAAAAGGCACAAACAGGTCAAAGAATGAAAAATCTAAGACTAAAAAGATCAGAAGTACTAAAAACTTTAACATTTTGACAAAATAATGAATACATACATAAAAATTCGATAATGCTCTACAGGAAGAACTGAAGAAAAAAGGAAATAGAAATACCTTCAAAGAGTCATGTGAACTGAGTCCTTGCTGCTTGCTTTGTTTTAGAAAATCAACCACTGGATATACATTTCTCCCTCTACATTGTAAACCTGAAGTCCTGATGAACTGAGGATGCAGACACCCAACATCCATTCCTTGAAATAGCAAAGCATATGGGTTTAAAAGTTATGAATGTATGTATGTAAATGTGCCTCCTCAAATCTCCAAGCATCAACAAACAATTTCATTTATAAGGGAAAGAAATGCATTGTAGTTTATGATATCAGGGTCATAAAATTCTTTCAGACGCAAAAGTTCATGAATATAAGACATCAAGAAACACACAAACAAATGCTATATTGGTAATTATTGACATAATATGAAAGTAGATGTCATAGAGGAACCTAATAAGATTAATTTTTGGCAGCATAAATAGCAATTAAATCACAAAACAACCTAATTCTCAAATTTGCTGCAAATTAAATTCTTGAAAGATTCTTGCACTTGCCTAAAATCTCTTCCATCCGTAACACGACAAGATCGAATTGAAATCATATTAAAGCAACAAATACGACCGAAAATCAAAATTTATGTAAATTCTTGAAAGATTCCACATCGAATTGACATTATATATAAAGCAGCAAACACTACCGAAAATCAAAATTGATGTAAATGCTTTAAAGATTCCCACACGTAGCGTTGCTTTTAGCAGTAGAAGACTAACAGTAAGGATGAAACTTACAATTCGATGCAGCTGTAACTTTTAGGAGAAGAAGAGAACCCGATTCAAGCTGAAGTGAAACCAGAGAATACGATGAATCGCACCGACGGAAGAAGTAGAATTAAAGCTTTGAGGTTTACAAAATGCTCACTGAGAGTGCCGGAAGACCGTCGGAATCAACTCAGAAGATCGACTAAGTGCCGGGCACAGTGAAGGGGAGAAGCATTATCACATATCCTATCATCTCGTCTTCTAGCACGTATTCGCTTTCTGAATTTTGTTTTTTAATTCTTTTAATATGAGGCCCATTTTAGTTTTAATTATTTTACATTTCTAGCCCAATTAAATTCTTCTCTTTTAATCTTAATATAATAATTATTTTTACTAGAAATATATATATGTATAATATAAATTTATAATCGAATTATAAAAATTAATACACAATTATATTATTATATTTATTATCATCAAATTAATACACATCAAAACTCTCCAAACTCAATCCAAATCTAGACATATAAATTCAAATTCACTTCAAAATTCAAATAAAAATCAAATCGAACCAAATTTTCCCCAAAAGCCCTTAAAAAAACACACCCTAAACTTTTAAAATCTAAACTTTTAAAATTATGATAAATAATGTATGCATGATGCAAAGTAATGAATCAAAACAATAATATACAACTAGTTATTTGGAAAGTTCAAAATGGATAGTGTTGTACATGTAGGGTGTGTTTGTTCGGGGGATTGGATTGGATTTACACAATTCATTCAATTTTTTTCTAAAAAAAAATCAAATCAAACACCTATTTTTTTATTTTTTATATTATACTAAAAATCAATTTTACATTCAAAACATTACATCAACACCTATTTATATCACATCATACAACTATTCAAATTCAAAAATTTTACTATTTAAAAATTCAAAATTCAAACATCCAAACAAACACAACACTGTGTTTCCTTAATATTTAATTTTTATATATTTTTTACTATTTAAATTTTATATTTTCTGTTGGTAACATAAAATCAACACTTTTATAAAATACCATATCTAAAATTATTTAAATAAAAAAATTTAAATCTATAAATTCAATCCAAATTGAAAAGATACACGCTTGCCTAAATTTATGATGATGGGTTATAATGAACTTTCTTAAAACTGCATAAGATATATTTTCTAAATTTTTCCTTTTTTTCTTTTTATTTTATAATTTTAAACCAATATACCTGTAAATAATTGGTTCATTTCTTTTCAATAAAATTATAAATATTACACAACACACTCAAAATTTTCACTTGTAATATAAACCATTTTTTTTTTGTTATTTTCATTTATTATTATTATTATTATTTTAAGAATCTTGTTACCTCACCAATCTATGTTTATTTCATATTCAACTATTCATATTTCATACAATAATCAAGTATATACTTCTATATTTATTATAATTTGTATTCAACTCACACAAACATATTTTAAATTAAAAGAATATTATATTCAATCAATTTTCTACCTAAAAATAAGAATAAGAAAAAAATAATAATAATAAATTTATTTGAGAACGATTATTTTTAATAGTTATTCAAGAACATATATTGGATATTGAATGAGTCAAATTAATATTGACCTCTTTTTTTTTTTTTTTGTCCATCCTATTAAAGATAATCAATTTATATTTGTTGATGTAATTTTTTAACAAAAATAAAGTAAAATTCAACGATATAGAAAATATCCTTAAACTTGATTAATTAGTGCCTGAGATTAGGAATCTCTAAACACTGTATGGTACAGAAAATAAACTGGAAAATAAAAGACTGAAATTTAAAGTGGTGATCCCCAAATCTGACTTTGCTTTGTTGAAGTTGATTGAAGATGTCTTGCCAAATGATGATCCAAATCCTTAAATATTCCCTGGGAAACTGTACTGAAAACCGTCGCCCGAACGGTTACAACGTCTCCTTTCCAACCGTCTTCCAACCCTTTTCCTGCTGACACGTGTCCTCAACGGACCAAAAATTATCACTATATTTCACCCTTTGAGCCGACCACAGACCTTCCGCCCTTTTGGCCCGACTGCCAATCTACAACCGACTTGTAAACCATCTGACTGGTTGGTCCAGCCGCAGAGTCCCGACCTGAGGACCTCCCGATCTGTCCGACCTGAGGACTTTCCGTCCTGAGGACTTTTCGACTTGCGGACTTTCCGTCCGACCTGAGGACCTCCCGACCTGCGGACTTTCTGTCCTGATGACTTTCCGTCTTGAAGACCTCCCGACCTGAGGACCTCCCGACCGGAGGACTTTCCGTCCTGAGGACTTTTCGACCTGAGGACCTCCCGTCCTGATGACTTTCCTTCTTGAAGACCTCCCGACCTGAGGACCTCCCGACCGGAGGACTTTCCGTCCTGAGGATTTTTCGACCTGAGGACCTCCCGACCTGAAGACTTTCCGTCCTGAGGACCTCCCGACCTGTATTTTCCTTAGAAATAAACCTATTTTCCTTGAATTCTCCACGGTGTCCTTCAGCCAGTTCAATCAACTCTATTGCCAGGCCCATTTTTTCTTTTACCTTGGGCTTTTTAACCTAATTCTAAATTTCATACGTAACAATATTTTTAGTAAATTTATTTATCTTAAACATATTTAAAAAATATAATTATAAATAAATAAATAATTTTATTTATTTATTTGTATTATATAAATTTTTATTCTCTAAAAAATAATATCCATATTGTATATATTTTATTAATATATAATGCTAAAAATATTTAAAATGCCAACAACACTACTCATATAAAAATAATAAAATAATATAATAATTTATTATTAATAATTTACTAATCTACACTACATAAAATACTGTATCCTTAAGCAAATGAGTCATCTTGATCGGAGAGGAGGGAGTATATAATAAGAGCATATACAACATATATTTTACATAGTTCAACATATGTTGTGTTACAAAATATATATTTCGTTATAAATATACTAATATTGTATATAATAAATAATGTATATCTTATCAAATTGCCACCATGGTAATTTGATTCTATCCATATCGGATATTTGGATGTCATTTATCATTTTCTACATAGACTTAAAAGGAATATTCAAATTAAAACTACTATTATATTTAATTATCCAAAATGATCTAATAATTTATATTGAAATGTAGAAATAATCACCCTTAGAATTACTCCATCGATAAAGCAAACCTGTGCTCATTTAACCGGACACAGATTTTAATAAAAGTGAGTAATAATTGTTTATTTTTTCTTTTATAGTAAAAAATATTACAAAAATGAAATGACTTTTTACTTAGGGTGTGTTTGTTTGAGGGTTTGGATTTTGAGTTGGGATTTGAATAGTAAAAATTTTGAATTTGAATAGTTGTATGATGTAATATAAATAGGTGTTGATGTGATGTTTTGAATGTAAAATTGATTTTTAGTGTAATATAAAAAATAAAAAATAGATGTTTGATTTGATTTTTTGGGAAAAAAAAATTGGATGAATAGTGGAAATCTAATCTAATTTCCCAAACAAACACACCTTAAAAAAAAATGAAAATATTTTTCGATGATAATTTAAAAATAAAAGTGGGCATAAATTTAAATGACGGACGGAATATTAATTAATGCATTTCTAAAACTAAATATAATGTAAGTGATGGTAGTTTGAACAGCATTTATTATATGAACATTTCCAAATTTTCATAGTAAAATATCATACTTGACATGAATATATTTCTTTAACTGTGAATGATTTTAGTCACACGTTTTTATTAATTTACTTTTTATTTAATGTAACAAGAGGTGAGATTGCATTAATCGAACAATGCCAATTTTGAACATAGAAAATATATATTTACCATAATTAATTGTTGGTCTAAAAATTGAGAAATAATTAGAGTTTGTTTGAATTTGATTTGAAATTTTAAATAATAATTTAATGTGATATTTTACGAGATAAAATAATATTATTAAAAAATTGAATACATTGCTCATTAAATAGTGATATTAAAATGTAAATGAATATATTTTGGTTAAATACTATTTGTTTCTATTTCAAATATATATATATATATTATATTATTCAGTTAGTATTATTCCTAATTTTTTTAAAAAAATACTACTCCTTTCTTCCCATATTTATTTATTTATTTATTTATTTTTTTACAAAATTTTAAAAATATTAATGTTATATTAAAATACAGTAGAAATAAATATAAAAAGAATAAACTAATTTTATTAGTACTGTATGACATAAATATAATAATACTTGTGTAATATATTGTAAATTGAAAGAATATTTGTAATATTAGTTAGATAATATAATTATTAAAAAAAAATAATAACTTTGTTATGGAACATACCAAAGTGAAAAAATAAATAGATTGTTAAAGGACGGACCTAAGTGAAAAATAAATAAATTGTTAAGAGATGGTACATACTACCTCCGTTCGAGTATCATTTGTTTTTTTTACATAAATTTGTGAATATTATTATTATATTAATTTGTAATAATAAAGACAAAAATGTTCAACATAAAAATAATTATATTTGAATAATATATTATAATTAGTAAATATAATTATTATATGAGATAAACAATACAATTACTAAATATAAAATATTACCATATTTTAGAACCAACAAAAATAAAAAATAATATCAAAATAATATTGAAATGAATTTTCAAATTAAAATCCTAAACTAAAATAAAGAACACACCTCGAGAGTCATTCCCATTCATCCCTAGTTTATGAAATGACACTTTTACCCCTCTCGGAAATGACAAAAACTACGCTACGACTCGAAACGTCTCCGTGTTTTTCCCTTCCCATTATCGGAATAAATAATACTAACGGACAAGTAAATTGTGGTCCCCTTACCAGGTCAGACGACCACGTGCCTCTCACGCGACTCACGTCTCTCACCCTTCTTCTACAGTGGACCCCACCCCACCCACCCACCCCGTCCCCTCTATAAATATACCGCCTGTCTCTGTCTGCTTCTGCAACCGCCATTGATAGTTCAACTCAGTCTCCACTGTTCTCCCCCGATTCTCCCTCAAAAAACGTGAATTCTGCTGCTTTTTGCCATGGCTTTTCTCAAGAGCTTCCTTACATATCTCGCTATAGCTCTCTTTCTGATTTTCGCCACCACTGGCGTTCACGGTGAGCACGAGTTTCCGGTCGGCGGAAGGCATGGCTTCTGGAAGGTTCCTTCGTCCCCAGACGTGTACGAAAATTGGGCGGAGAGGCTCCGCTTCCTCATCGGCGATACGCTCGGTAATAAGACTAATTAAATAATTATTTCTCCGTCGCCGATTTAGGGTTTCTGATTTCCATTTCTTTTCAGAAATTGAGTTCTTAGTTCCACTGTGATGTTTGTTACTTTTTTCTTATTTTGGTTAATTCGATTTCAGTTCTCCGATACGATCCCAAGGCCGATTCGGTTCTGCAAGTGACGGAGCAGAGCTACAAGATCTGCAACAAATCCGACCCCATTAAATCGTACGGCGAAGGGAACACCAGGATCGTCCTCGAAAGATCAGGACCGTTCTTTTTCATCAGCGGCGCTCAGGGGCACTGCGAGAAGGGCCAGAAGTTTGCCGTTTGGGTGTTGTCGCCTAAGAGAGGGACTCACATTCATTCTCCGGCGCCGTCTCCGTCGGATCACCACCACTTGCACCATTCTCCGGCGCCGGCGCCGTCGAGCTCTGGTTCTCGACTTATCGGAGGAGTTATCGGCGGCGGCGTCGCCGCCGTTGCTGCGGCGGTCCTTTTTATTTAATTATGGTTTTTTTTTTTTCTGAATTGTGCATGTGTCTTTATTGTTGGTGGTTTTGTGTTTAAGTTTTTGGTATTTGGTGTCGTTTTTATTATGTTGTTGGAATGTATTTTTATCGGTATATTGTTCAAATTAGACATATTTTGGTTTTTTTATTTTTTTTATTTTTTTATTGGAGTGTTATTTATGTTTTATTTGATATTTTATATTTAGCTAATTGTTAAAATAATTTGTTGAATGTACCATAGTAACAGCCACCAATTAATTCACGACACGTGGAAGGCCTACCGTATAATGAACGTACGGTATGAATAAATTATAGGTAGTCTATATCTATAAGGCATCGGTTACAAATGATAATATAATTACAATATATATTTTGATAGTTATGATATAATTTCATGTAATATTGTAATAAGTAGTGTAATTTTGGCTTTTATTATTTATAAAATTTTATTCTATTTTATTATTTCATTTTTATTTTTATTATTTTTGCAAAACATCAAATTAAATATTTAATGTTATTTATTTTTTAAATTTAATTTTAAAAGATTATATCAACATATATTTATATTACATCAAATAATTATTTCAAATAAAAATTTTACTATGCAAAATTAAAATTCAAAACTAAAATTTCAAAAATAGTTTATATAAAAATACTTTATAATTAATGAAAATATCTTTTAATAATTAAAATATTATAAATACACTTTACCCTACATCACTAAAATATTTTGATATAACTGTTTATATAGAAAATAATAATTAATGATATTTTATATATTTTTAAAAACATTAATTTTGACCATTATTAAAATTTTATTGAAAATTGATTTTTGTTGCACTACTAGAATCTTTTTGAAAAGTCTCAGAAAAATTCACAATGTCGAAAAGTAACATTCCATACCTCATCGACGTATCTGTTAAACAAAGCCAATGGATGAATCCGGACATATAAATCGAGATACCATGGATGTTTATTCTTTTCGCCGGAGGTTTTATTTTTTTCCATGAATTCAACTTTGAGGAGAAAACTTGAGCAAATTTATAATTTTCGATAATCTTCACAATCTTGTAATCATTTGTTTCTGAATCGCAGCCGATGCCGCAATCCAGGATAATTAGTGTAATGTCATAGACAGCTTGGGAGAGAGATCGAACGCTCGATGCAAGGATTGAATATGATCAGATTATCAGGAGCAACTGTACAACAAAAGATGCCATTGCAAGGACCGTGGAAACTCCAACTTAAAGGTCCTTCAGAATTATCGATGAACTTCGTTTTCTCAAATATTGTAGCTAAATTGTGTTCTGGAAACACAAAAGATTTGTGTATATTAGTTGATCCTTTGGGGATTATAATGCGGCCGATGTTTGATCGATGCTTACTTACGAATTTGGAGTCGAAGATTGTCGAACACCACAGCTTGCAGACGAAACTCAGGCGGATCAGAGTCTCCGGCGGAAGCAATGTCAGTATCTGTAAAATTACGTCGTCGGGCAACGATTTCGATAATTGATAGTAACTGTACCAATTGAAGGGTTTAGGGTTTTGTTAGGCGATGGACAAAGAGATTCACAATAATCAAAGCAACATTTAAGTCGTAAATTTAAGTAGGAGATAGATTTATTATTAAGTGGAGAATTTTTTATTTTTTTTTGTTAAGATTAGATTTGCTAAATTAAATGAATGATTTGTGGATATTCTATAGTGAAAATTGGATATATATAGATATATATATATATTTGGAAGTATCGGATGTGGTAAATTTTATCCTGGTGGTTGCTGCACAAAAGAATGCCTTGTTTACGTAACAAAATTTTACTTCCGGTACTATTCATTTTTTTTTTAAAAATATCATATTAAATACACTTTTTTAATTTCAAAATATTAAATCAAATATTAATTTTTTTAGTTTTATCCGTTAATACTCATATATTATTGTTGGGGGCTCCCGTTTGTGGATATATGAATAATGGGTTAGTTTTTCTAATAAGTTCAAGCTTTTAGGTGAGATGGTCATTAACATCTGCATGTGCAAGTTTCGCAGACCTACTTGCACCTGGGGATATGCGCAACAAAAGAAAATATATGATCTAAGGGGACATTTTTTTAATAAATTATAAATATAACCAATATATTTTAGCTTTTTGAAAAGTTTTTACCACTGACTAGTTAAAAACTTAATTTAAATTTTTTTATAGTAAAAAAGCTCATTTAAATTTTGGTAAATTAGTAAAATGATGCTTTTTTAAATATATATATCAATATTTCAAAAGAATTTTTTCACTCCTATTTTTTTTATTCCTTTTTTAATCCTTAAGAATAAATACTTTTCAATTACATTCGGCTTCATTGATGTTTTGTATAATTTTTTTTTTTTTTTTTTTACAAATGTCATTATATATAATGCAAAATATAAATGAGAAGTTTAGTAGGAGGAGATATATTTTTTTTATTACAATATTTATTAATTATTTATTATATTTTTTTCTGAAGACTTATAAATCTAGTTTTATAAGTTTAAATATTTGATATTATTTTTTTATATGGAACTTTATTATATTTTTGGGGACCTAATAAAAAATAAATAAATAAATTAAAAATTAACTTAATTGTTGGGACTCCTGTTTGCGGATATATGATTAATGACTGTATTTTCGTCTTGAGTTCGAGTACAGTGAAACGGTCATTCAACATCCGACACTAATATATATATATAATTTGTTCTTTTACATTTTCTATTTATTTTAATGTAAAAAATACTCTAGAGTGTTTGTTTTGTAAAATAGTTAGAAAGAAAAAAAATATATATTAATTCTGTAAAAATATTTTTAAGAAATAAAAACAAATATTTCAATAAAACTTTAATAATTGTCAATAACTAATAACTGAAATCAATCTTTTAAATATATACTACCTCCGTCCAGCTGCTCTAAGTGCCTCATTTAATTTTTCTTTGTTGATATTTGAATATTAATTATTATATTAAAATTTTAAAAATATTTCTATTAGTATCTTATAATACTAAAATTATACAAATATAATGATATTTTTAATGTTAAATATAATGAAGCAAAAAGCAAATATGACCCTCAAAGGCTAGAGGTAGTATAAAATATCGTAATTATCATTTTGTAGTATAAACAGTTAATATCAAACAATTATTTTATCAAATACTTTAGCTAATATATTCAGTTAACAATTAATCGAATCAACTATTAACTTTTTTTTTTAAATAAATATATGTTGATTGAGTCAAATAAATATTATATTGATTTATACGGTACAAAGGTATTTAAAAATATTTTAATTATAAAAATTCTTTTCATTGAAAAAAAAAAAAAAAAAAAACTATTCATAAGATACAACTTTCATTAATCACAAATTATTTAAAATTTAAATATATTAACTAAATGATGGTTGTATTTTTATATAATACAATGTTACATGAAATTATATTATAATTATCAAAATATATGTTGTAATTATATTATATTTTTGTGACTGAGTCAAATGAACACAAATGTAACCCATAGACTTGACTATCCACTTAGCCTTAACATATAATTACCACTTAAGGAGGTCAATGTAATTCAAACATTAGGGTTTAGGGCTTAACTCAAAACAAAACTTACTAATTTTGTTGTTCAAAATCAATCACATGTAAATATTTTGTCGACTCATAGCCTACTTGATTTAAACAAATTTACTTTTTAATATTTAGACCATATATCCCTCACAAAAGAAACAAACCCTAATTTGTTTAGTAAGAGATGATTGGTGTATAATTTGCCTTATCCAATATAATTTATTGGATATTAAATTTGGTCCAATGCACACTTTCCGATAAGGACGGGAAATTCCAACATCATAAAATAAAATAATAATAATAATAATAATAATAATAATAATAATAATAAAAACCTTAATTTAAAAGATAATTATCAATAATAATAACCAACAAATCTTATCAATAATAAAATCAATTATAAATATAATTTTAATTTAGTAGTATTTAACTGTGTTTTGATTGTTTTATCTCTATATCAATCTTTTAACAAAAAAAACCCTAAAATCCTATGCCCTTTTCATAGTTACAAATAGACTCTTTTCTCTCTTCTCTGTTGATTTTTAGATCCTTACAATGGCGGATAACAAATCGAAATTTGTGCCCGACGACGTTATCTTTGAGATACTGACATGGCTTCCGCCGGAGACTCTTATCCGCCTGAAGACCGTCTGCAAACTGTGGAATTCGACAATCTGCGATTCCAAATTCATAAGTAAGCATCGATCCAACTTCGGCGACTCCCGACGCAACAAAAACAATATCGGCCGCATTATAATCCCCACGACATCAATCAGGTTTGGTTCCTTCAATATACACAAAACTTTTGTGTTACCAGAACACAATTTACGTGCAACCTTTGAAAATGTGGAATTCGTCAATGATTCAGAAGGACCTTTAAGTTTGACAATTTACGGTTCCTGCAATGGCGTCCTTTGTTGCATGTCTGGTTCCAATCATCTAATGGTATGCAATCCTTGCATCGGGCGTTCGATATTGATTCCAAATTCTCCATCTCGTTGCTTTCACTTTCGGGGGGATTTTGGGATTGGCTACGATTCAGAAAGAAACGATTACAAAATTGTGAATATGACCGAAAAGTGTTTGGCACACGTTAGTATTGCCGAAGTTTTTTCGTTAAAGTCGAATTCATGGAAAGAAATAGAGTCTCCGGTGAAAGAAATAGGGCTTCCGTGGCGGGAATTATTCATTGTGGGAATGTCGATTTATATATCCGGATTTATCCACTGGCTTTGCACTTCGTTGAACAAGTCTAAAATATTGCGTTTCGACGTTGCGAATGAAGTTTTTAGCGAGATGGAATTGCCAATGGAGATTGATAGGTGGCGCTACGGCGTTGCTTCCATTGCTGAAGCGAACGGTTTGCTTAGCCTCACGGTTCTGAAGAAATATCCGGACATCTTTGAGGTGTGGACGATGAATGAATACGGAGTTTTGGGTTCATGGATTCGACGGTTCGAAGGACGGGTCCCTCATCATAGCAAAATTGTGTCTATAGGGTTAACTATTGAATGCAAAATTATGATGTGCTTGTTAAGTTTTCGTGTGACTAGTAGTGGATTTTTAAGACAGTATAACAACAAATGGAATAGGGAAGCTAAGGAAAATATATTGCTTGCTGTGGTCGACCTGAAAACGCCGAATCGTGTCTATAGCACTCGACTACTTGATTATCCTTACCACCGTATGTTGGCCTTCAAAGCTAGTCTCGAACTTCTTGATTATGTTGCGTGATAGACTGATAGTTAATTATGTTTACGAGAGTTATTTTAGATATTTAGTTTATTATTTTCGTGTCAGTGATGTTTTATTTTGTATGAATTTTCTAGTAATATATGTTTCATCAATTAGTTTTTTTTCGAAACCTTGAAATTAATGTGTTTATATCTATGTTCTTGTCCATTAGATCAATTTTTACATCAATCATAGTCTATTGTTAAGTATTGAATTTAATGTTATTTAAACTAATATTTTATCTATTTGAAATTAATATCATTAGTTAATTATATATATATTTTGGAAATAAAAAACCTTACAAATTAATATCATTCATTAATCATTCTCATTTTATACAAACTTTTGTTTTGGTTACTATTTTTTTTTTTTTTTTTGTTTGAATACAAAGTTGATACACACCCACAGTTGAATACTCATTCTTTAGATAAAAAAAATTGGTTTTAATTTTTTTATTACGTCATTAACTTTATTTCTTATAAAATTATAGTATATAATTTCAAAAATATAAAATAAAATTTACTTTTCAAATAAAAAAACAAAACAAATTAAAAAAAAAAAAAAACACTCTCAATTAAATTCAATAAACCACGAAATGCATAATATATATACCTCGAAAAACATACCTACCTTCTTAGTTTTGTTTATTACTATTAGCATCTAATGTTATCTTAAATATATATATACAATATATTATTTTTAGTATTATTTTTTTTATTATTATTATTATAAAAATACCATATCGAAATACATTCAAATGAAAATTCCAATAAAGAAAATCAAATTTAATACAATTAGAATATTTATATATATATTAATAGAAAAGATGTCCCTAAAGAGCCCAAAATTTTTGGGTCTTGAACATGTCCAGGGCTGCCTAAGGGGTATAGAGTGCCTTTAATTTGAGTTTTAAATAAAAATTAATATTTTTTTATCATTCAAATTTATATTTATTTTTATTTTTAGTTATTATAAAAAATATTCTTATTTTATTTTCTATAAAAAAATACTCTCAATTTCAAATATTATTTTTACTATTTTCGTTCATATTATTCCGATGTATCTTTTTATATTTTAGTAAAAGTAATTATACACTGTACCAAAATACTCTTAACTTTTACTTAAATTACAAGCATATTATTACACTTTTACAATTGTTTTATAAATAAAGTCAAATGACAAAAAAGTTAATTTTTTTTTCACACTTTCAGTAATTAATAAAATATTACTCCCTCTGTCCCATATACCATGTCCACGTTGCTGTTTCTGTCCGTCCCACATACCATGTCACTTTCCTTTTTTGGAAAATGATTACACACTTTAATCTCATTTTAAATTTTTAAATTTTATTTTTTTAAAATTTTAATTAAACTAATTAATTATCTTAATTTTAATTTATAATTATTTATATTATTGGATAATTATTTTCACTTATACATTTTTAATTATCTACTAATTACACCTCTCCTAAAATACCGTGTCTATAGTATAGAGACACGGTATGTGGGACGGAGAGAATATTATTTTTTAATCAATTACAAATAGTATTTTCTTTTACTTTGTTTTACTATAAAAAAAAAATCTATTTTTACAGATTCTTTTTAAAAAACTTGTACCGATCAAATAAAAATAAAATTAGATAACGACCCTATGATTTATACAACTATTAATAAAAATATTTTATTGTATTTTATTATAAATATTATATCAAAATAATATTTGAATTAAAATTTCAGTCTCAAACCAATGTCATATTTTCACGTAACATTTTCAATCTTTTTCTAGCTATTTACTTTTAACAATATATGGAGTATTATATATTATATTGAATATTATTCCATCCGTCATATATAATTTATTCATATTTTTTATTTTTGTTCCACATAATATATTATTTTTCTTTTTAAAATATAATTATACACTTTAATTATATTTTAAAATTTAAATATTTTAATTTTAATTAAACTAGTTAATTATCTTAATCTATAATTATTTTTACTTTACCTAAATTTTCACACCTAAACTAATACACCCCTATTATATGGGATAGATGGAGTAATTTTTATCTACTAGTATTATATTTAAATCATTTTTGTAGATTATGGTTTTGATTGATGTCTTTTCCATGTTCTTTATCTATTATATTTGACTATTTTTTTTTTCTCTAAAATGGAAAATCTCATTATTCATTAGTTTTTTATTACTACAATTAACTTTAAATTCAAAATATTATATACTCCATATGTCAGAAAATATATATACTTTTATTTTAAATTATCCAATTATAAGGTAACTATTTCATTGAATATCCTATTCTTTTTCACAAATACTATTACTTTATCATCACATTGTTACTTTTACACCAAAAATTAAATGCAAGATTTATTTTTATACTACTTTTGACTACTAATTATAATTAAAATACTATTATTTTTTATATTTCACACCAAAAATATATATATATATATATAGTAAAAAAAGTTTATATCATATTAAATTATTATTTGAATTTATGTTTTAATATTCTCAACCTTAAATCTAACTCTATAAATGATAATAATAATAATAATAATAATAATAATAATAATAATTATGTAACTCTCAAACCAACAACCAAACAAACCCTTGTTTTCAAAATTGGATTTGATTTGATTTTGTTTAGATTCTAGTTTGAATGTAATTTGAATACTAATACTAATACTACCTCCGTCTCACATACAGTATTTTAGGAATAGTGTAATTAATATATAATTAAGAATATATTAGTGAAAATAATTATCCTATAATATAAATAATTATAAATTAAGATTAAAATAACTAATTAGTTTAATTAAAATTTTTAAAAAATAAAATTAAAAAGTTTAAAATGAGATTAAAATGTATAGTCATTTTCCAAAAAAGAAAAGTGACATGGTATATGAGACGGACATATATGGACATGGTATGTGCGGCAGAGGGAGTAATAAGAAGAAGGTCTCCAACCCCACCCCACCCCACCTACCTGCCGTTGTAGAATGGACCGCTTATTATGTATGGAGAAGGCATTTATGGACACTTTCTACACCCATATTTTGGCTGCCTACCTTCTTACCCAAATACTCTCTCTACACCCATAATGTATGCAATAATCTTCACAATCTTGTAATCGTTTGTTTCTAAATCATAGCTGATGCCGCAATCCACTCGTGGATGATAATTAGTGTAATGTTGTCGTCGACAGTTTGGGAGAGAGATCGCACCCTCGAATCAGATTATCAGGAGCAACTGTGCAACAAAAGATGCCATTGCAAGAACCGTGGAAACTCCAACTTAAAGGTCCTTCAGAATTATCGATGAACTTCTTTTTTGTAAATATTGCAGCTAAATTGTGTTCTGGAAACACAAAAGATTTGTGTATATATATATATATATATTAATCGAACCAAATCTAGTTGATCCTTTGGGGATTATAATGCTGCCAATGTTGTCTTTGTTTCTCCGAAAGTTTGATCGATGCTTACTTACGAATTTGGAGTTGAAGATTGTCGAACACCACAGCTTGGAGACGGAACTCAGGCGGGATTACGCCGTCGTGCAAAGATTTCGATTTCTTATCAGCCATCTGAAAATGGATAGAAAAGAGAGGAAAGAATTGATAGTAACTCTTAACAATGGAAGGGTTTAGGGTTTTGTTAAGCAATGGATAGATAGATTCACAATAATCAAAGCTAACATTTTTTAAGTATTAAATTTAAGTAGGAAATAGATTTATTATTAAGTGGGAGAATTTTGTTTTATTTTGTTAAGATTAGATTTGCCAAATTAAATTGAAATTACTATTTTAAATTAAAAAAATATATATTATATAGTGTAGGGAAGGTCAAGATGACTAAAAGCAAAATATTACGGTTGAAAGTCTGTGGTAAATTTTATCCTCGCTGCTGCACAAATTATGCCTTGTTTAACATAACAAAGTTTTATTTATTATGGGTCTATTTATTTTTCTAAAAAATATCATATTAAATACTAATTTGTTTAGTTTTATCGTTAATAGTCATATATTATCTTTACGAAAAACTCATTATCATAAAAAATAATAAACAAATAATTCTTTAATAAATTATAGTTTTAAATTTTAAATTTATCAATAATTTATCTATACAAATACAAATTTATATTTATTTCAAAAGATCCCGATTCACTTACATATTTCTCGATAATTTTTTTGACATATCCAATATAATATTTAAAATTTTTTTAAAATTTCGTATTCAATCCCTATTCAACCAGCTTTTTCATTAAAACTATCGGAAACAAAAATTATTCGGACAAAGTATTAATCCGAATTTATTTTAATCTTTCAAATATTTAAATGCAACTAATTTTACATGAATAATTTTAATATTTCATAATATAATTTTTTTTATAATATTATTATAGTTTATAAAATTAATATTTTAAAATTAAAATAATGTTATATAATAAATATTATTTACATATATTATTAGATAATAAAATGTATAAAAATAAATAATTATTATAAATTTTATAAAGTAGTAAAGATAATATGTAAATGTGATAATGTTATAAGGGTTTTAAAAAGAAATAATTTGAATGTATTAAGGATGTGATTAGGAAAAAAGGGATATAAAAGGTTCCAACTATAATGCTCTCTTATAAATCTATTTTCTTATATAATTTAGTACTACAAAACTCTAAACCCTAAGCTCTTTCATATAAGTTACAAGCTAAGGTACCGATTCATCGATTCTTTCCTAGCTCTCTAAATTCTCTATTCTATTGATTTTCAGATCGATCCTAATTACCATGTCTTTGTCCTCTTTGCCCGATGACCTAATCTTTGAGATACTGTCACGGCTTCCGCCGGAGGTTCTTGTCCGCCTGAGGATCGTCTGCAAGCTGTGGTACTCGACAATCGGCGATTCCAAATTCATAAGTAAGCATGGATCCAACTTCCGGCGCAACAAAAACAACATCGGCCGCATTGTAACCCCCGGCAG